CGGAAGGATCAGATCAATTTAGTAGATAGTTGAGAGGATTTTTCAAATCGGACAAGCCATCATGCAATACGTGGCCCATAGAATGCGGGTCTACATATTAAACAAGAAAGAAGTAATGTCTTCGGTTATAATGTCATTAACATTTCAAATTTATTGAATTGAATAGTTTTTGACTATTGGGTGTATGCATTGATTCGTGCGGTTTTCTAAGAGAGGGCTCTACTAGTATTATTTCGCGTCGTGTTCATCTGTGGCTATATTCATTTCAAAGATACTATCATTTCGCGTCGTTTTCAGCAAATGTCATTTGTTTTAGAGTGAACAACAATTTGTTTCATTCATTTTAAAATGTCGATATTTGTACCAGATAAAGTGTTTTTGCGGGGAGTTCTTCTTCATGACTTGAAAAAAGTGTTACCGAAAGCCATCGTATTTTGCTGGACATTTATGGTGACCATGATTTAGCCGAACGAACGTGGCAATTTCGACTTAGACGACTGACAGCCAAAAAAATTTCAAGACGAAGAATTGGAGACCTTGCTCGACGCAAATGCATGACAGACGCAAGAAGAATGAAAGTATTAGGAGTTGATCAAGCAACCGTTTTCATACGATTAAAGTAATTTTTTCACAATAAATTCTTAATTTTCGACAAAAAAAAAACGCACGAATTAATGCATAAACCCAATATTTGAATCAAAACCTCACATCTGAACAAATCGTTTTTATGGAAGCTGTATGACAAAGTCTTCCTTTCTCTATGATTTTCGGCGAAAATATTTATTTGAATTAACGGTTGTAGAATAAACAATTCCACGTCTTTTAATGATCGATTTTTAGCCCAAAATCTCATATTTTTTCTTGCGACGGAACCTAAACACAGTAACTCGCTCATACTGAAGACACTGCGTCTATATGCCAAAAAGGAGTGTGAGTTAACACATCCATCAATATAAACAAGGCACGATTCAAGGCCAGAACACAGCGCTTGCATCGACTTGTATCGAGCTGAGAAAACGAAAGTATTGATGTTCGACAAGTGAACTAATTTGTATAGTGCAACACACTATAGATCCGACGACTTTCCCAGGCAATGAATGACATAGAAAGCTTATAATAATTCCAATAGGAAAAACGGACGAAGTGATCATCCAGGAGCGTACCAGTCTATGTGTAATTGAAAAGCCTGTCAGAAAAGTAACATGCAGTGGCGTGCGCAACCAGCAAAAAACGCTCGGGAGTCTTCGACTTATGGACGTAAGTTGAGCCCAGAGATACTCAACGTATTATAATGAAAATGGATGATTGATGTAGTATGAGAAACTGAGGATAGTGGCATGGGACAAATTATTATGCAAAAATCCAGTAGCAAACAGCACAATCTAATAAAATACGAAGAATACTAAAAATAAAATGTAGAAAAATGCATTGCTACTTCCCATCACACTTCGACAACAAAGACTAAGTCCTGTCGAAGCTATGTATGTCCACAAATATCAGACAGTTAACACGAGGAACACGACACACCAAGAGATAAACGCAAAAGTAGCAGCGCGATGGAAAGTGGCTAACCCAAGGCAGATAATGCTGATCAAAAGCTGACTAAACAGTCAGGGCCGCTGAAAGTACTCACTATTTTCATGAAGAAACTTGTCTGCTCATACTAACACTGGCCAGATGTGGTTGAGAAAGAGAGACAGAGGGACACATGGCCAATGGCCAGTCTTCGGAAAAGTCTGTTATGATTGTAATTTGGAAATACAGAGGTGTGAATAACGCAAACTTCTCTCCTTAGGAATTTATGTCATTTTCATGCGAATCGCCGACTTCACCGATCTCTTTAAATATTTCCAAGATACAAGAAAGCATAGTTAAATAGACAACTGACTGATACTTTAATACACTGAAGAAGATGCCAATACGAATGACAGATAAAAAGGAGATGCCGATAACTAAAGCACATTCGAGCGCGAAAGTATCGATTATTCTGTATATCGTAAGAGCATGACAGAAACTTCCAGAAACTTCAGTTGGGTATATAAGAGAGCGACCAATGCAAAGATAGTTTAATTACATTTCAGAGTGGTTGACATTATCTGCCCAGAGGCGACCGCAATTAGAAACTTCAACTTAATTTTATATTTAAATTAAGCAATTATAAAATTAAATGACATAAATCAATAATATAATTATGAGCGAAAACATATTTACCGCGGTCTATTAGACACCGTACGACCACTTGTAGGTTATCAAACCAGTGATGGAGCTCGAAGGATTCGGGAAGACATCGTGGCGTATTTAGCGAAAATCATAACAATGCGTAGAGGCTATAGACATGAAGCATTTGAAACTCAATTAAATTACACACAGTACTCATGCTCTACTCCTGTGAAAAAATAATAATCGATTTACATATTTTTATCGAATTATGTTTGACATACATACATTCCCTTCATTTTCTATAAGAATTTTCTATTTTCAGCAAAAAAGTTTACAAATTTATTGGAACAGAAAATTTTTCTATATTTTTTCACCTTTTCAATATAATTTTTTTGTGGCATATTTTGCAATTTGGCTTAACTGTAATAACATACAAGAGAGATAGAAGACAAAAATGGTTGGTACAGCATGTTCGGCAATTCCAATGGTAGATGCTGCCTCGAGATTTTCTTTCATTAGACCACACAAAGCATACAGTTCCTGCACGCTCGTTGGCAATTGGTATAATGAACGCATTTGCAATAAAGACAAGACTTTCAATCCCATCAATTACAAAGCTGATATCACCGAACGTAAGTGTCTAGAAAACCTATCCAGTTACCGCGATCATTACGCTGACCCAAAGCAAATAAAACGCGAAGACGCGCCCTCGTTTGAGGAGCAACGAGTGCGCTATAAGAGAAACGTGCACAAGGGCAAGGACAGCAGCGTACTCATAATGGATTCGGAAAAGTATTTAGCAAATTATACAACGCTCAATGACATCAAATATAGACTACAGCCGCCGAAGGACACTTGGAATTTGGCGACAAAAGCACCCACGAAGGCATTACCGAAGGAGAATTTGCTGCGTAGTTACGGCAATGAGACGAACTTCGGTCTGCGCCGTTGGTTGACCAATATACGAAATCAAGCGAGATTATATCGCACGGATGATACAACATATTCAGATGCGTTTAGACATCCGGAACGGCCGCAAAGGAGGCATGTGCGCTATTGCAGGTGAGCTTTTGGTGCTGAGCGGCGGTTATTCTTGGATATTTGTGGGACTGTAAGCGTTAAAGTGTATGTGGCGGTTGCTTTTTTGAGCAAAAACTAAACAAACAAAAATTAAATTAAAAAATTTACAAAAAAAAAAAAATTAAATTACTAAAAAATTACAATATTAAACGCAAAATTTTAACTAAAAAATAAACAAAATTAATAAATAAATAAAAACTACAAAAACAACTCACAAAATTAACATAAATAAAAATTAAAAAAAGTACAAAAACTTGCTAAAAGACAAAAGAAAAATTAATGCATAAAAATTCAACTTGAAAATAGTAAAATAAATTAATGAAAAAAATTAAAAATTAACAGAAATTACAAAAATATAAATTTATTAAATAAATTTATTAGTATTAAAAAACTTTATAGCAGCATATCAGTATATGGGGAGCAATATTTAATATATAAGCCAAAAATTGTTCAAATAATATAAATAATAACGCCCTTTGACTTGTAGATTAACTACGCCTGCTTTTTAAACTTAATAAATTATATTTTAAACAATATTGTTTTAAATTTTCAGGATATTATAACATACATAGCTGAATTAAGGGGGGAACCTGGTTAAGAGGGTCAAAAAAATCGATTTTTTGAAACTTATCTCATTCGATTAGAAATATATTCAGAAATATTTCCACAAAATTTCAGAGTCAAATTCCTAATCGTTCAGCAGAAATGGCCTCTGAGGGACAATTCGCTCAGGAGACTGATAAGCGGGTGCGAGAACTTTGAACACGATTTTCTCAAAACAGTGTTTTTCGCATTTTCATAAGTGATACCTTTTTTTTACAGCTAATAGCGAAGGCTTCTATGTGAATCTAAAAAATCACAATAAAAAAATTAATAATATTAACTTTTTTTCAATAAATTATCTTAAAATTTCATGAAAAAACGTAAAGTTTTTTATAAACAGTCATGAAATAAATAATTTCATATATTTCTTTGAATATCTTAGGTTCACATACGTGTAGAAGAGCAACTCCTAAGCTACAAAACAAGTATTCGTTTTTATGTTTCAGATGAAAACTACGATCGCTCGTGTTCACAAAATAGACTCTCCGAGCGAGAAGTGCCACAAACAAATACGAATTGTTATTGCTTAACAGTATCAAATAAAGTGAAAGTAAATTTTTTTGCCAGATTTGTCTATCTATCACCTATTTCAAAAGTACTTGAATCATTCCATACGTAAGGCAACCTAAAACACTGTGCCGAATATCATGCCATTTTCAGCGTTCTAAAGCAGGTTCCCCCCTTAAGCAATTTGGGCAATTCGTCTGAGCTTCTTTGTATATCCAGCCTTTTTCTATTGGTTTCAAACTGTTTTATGCAATATTTTTCTACTGGGCAACCGAAGCAGTGAACGTATGGCGGTCCGGATCGACGATTTCCATTATTTCATCGACATTTTCGACAGTTACCCTTCACAGTGGGGCAAAAGATAATATCAAAATGAGCTGAACTAAATTGTGCATGATTAGCTGTTACAGTATCAGAACCACAAACACTATTCATATTTTCAGTTCATTATCGAATGAACTGGAAACTGGAATAGCGTAATCCAATCGTACTTATAGAACGCGACATACGGAACGGACTAAAGGCAACTATTGCAAAATAATGGCTTACTTTTTACTAGACCTAATATTTTCTTTAACAAATTTACAATTGTCAGCAGTGAAATGGGTTGGATAAAAATATTAAAATTATAAATTCCTAATTTCACTTACCAATTTTATGGCCGCTGAAAAGGCGAAATTTCGCTGTCTTGCTTTATTTTGTAGTTGTAAATATTTTTGTTTATGTCTATGCATAAAACACGACTAATACTGTACACAAAGAGCGAGCACGTTATTGTTGTTGTTATATGGTATGTTTATATTCACATAAAACAGCGAAAACGTTTAAGTACATTACATTGAAGAAGTGACGCCAAACTGTTTAGCTGTAAGAGAAAAAAAAAAAAAAATTATTGCAAATATATTTAAGCTGCATTAAAAAAAAAAATCATTAACGATCAAAAGAACACAACTCACCTCAGTTACGCAGAAGTCTTTAGAAACGGCCTTCAAACTCGTATACACAACCCGGCTCCGCTCTTTAAACTTTTACACTTCCACAACACGCAAAGCCTTAAATTCCAGGTATTGAGCGCTATGCATGACTGCTGTTGATAGCAACGGCGTAATCCTCTCTGCGGGTGTAGAGCACAAAGCGTCGAGCGAAGAATGCACGCAAAGCGAAGGTGACAAATTGGCGCGTGAAGAGAAAAGCGCTTGTAAAGTCATTTTATTGAATGTTTGGCGGTTACTTTAAAGTTTCTTATTATTTCATGTGTATACTGTATATAACTATATGTACATATATATATATTTATAATCACTTTTTTGCACATACACACACTTCCTTGCTCTCTCTTCGGCTGCCACTTTTATCCGTGCACTTTTTAGTTTTCTATTTATTTATATTATTTTATTTTTTGTTTGTTTTGTTCTCGAGTTTGACTAGAATTTATTTAAATTTTTTTTGTTGTATATACTCTGTAACGGTATAAAAATTAAAACATTAAACAACAACACTTATTTAGTGCTTTTCAAATGGCTTTTTCACTATTCATGGCATTTAAGAATTGTTGTTGTTGTTCGCATTATTGCATCAGAAGAATGCAGAGAATAAAGTGAGTTGCTATGAAATGGACACTAAACTTTTGCTTTGCTCGCTTTTTGCCTTTCTTTTTGTTAACATATTTTTGTTGTAGTGAAACAGTTTGTATTTATGTATGTCTGTTTAAGTTTTTTAATACATATATATGTTTGTATGTATGTATGCCTGTGCTATTGCCATTTAGCCTGCGCTGTGTTCATCCATTAATGGGCGCATTGACAAAGCGCGTGCAGCTCGCCTTTGAAGGCCGACGCGCAATCATCTATCCAGGCACTACTCACTCGCTTGAACACAAATGCATACAGACACAGACACAGGCACTTAGCAGGGACGTAATGCAAGTAAAAAAAATAAAAAAATAAATAAATATTATGTAAATGCTGCCACCCAGTTTGTGATATTCGTATGAATTGGTCTTTTAAATTTTAATGAACTCAAAGGAATTCATGAAGAAACGAGTAAGCGCACTTGGTTCGGTTTGGTCTGGTCAAAGCGAAGCAGTTAATAGTAAATAAAGGTATGCATATTTCCGGGAGCAGTCTGGAAGTTCTTCAATGCAAAAAATTGTAAATTTTAATGAACATAAAAGACAGAGGCGCTCAATGAAAGAAGTTTTTCTAAGAAGGGAAAGTTTCTGATTGACTTTCACTTTGTAGCAGTTAACAACTTTAACTCTAATTGAAATCAATCTGGTCCTGTAAGGGCCAGCCTACATTCTCCATACATACCTATATAGGCGAGCTAAAGAGAGAAAGTGAATTAAATCAATGAAAAAATATGATAAACAATAAAAGGTAGAGACAGAGAATCAACTTCTGCAATTGCCACGCAAAAAGATGGTTCCCTACAACTGTCGAACAAAAAATTTTCTGTCTCTTTCTACACATAACACGCGTCGCTCTGAAATTTCGCTCTCTCCTGAGCAGTTACAATTAGTGTTGCCAGAAGTTTTTCAAAGACTCTGCTAAATGGCGCTCATAGGAAGCTAAAATTAGGAAACAAATTGAAGAAATTCTAAAAAATATGCTAAGAGGTGTCATTTGGAATAGCCTACGATTCCAGCAGATGTCACTTTTGAAGCTGTATTTTTGGACATTTGAGAATAAAAAGCTATGCCAGTAATCAAAATGTAACGTAAACAGTCTTCAACAGCGCACTGCAATTATTAAAATTCATTATAAACATTTCATTGAAAAATCGTCTTGACTGATGTCTTCCTCGATGGATATAACCACTAAGCAAAACTGTCGCATCTGAGGCTCAGAGAACCCCCGACTTATGGTTAGTATGGTCTGCATCTCAAACGTGTAACTGTGGAGTGCGGTTTATAGTCCCGCAGGGTTATTGGACCTTACTATAATTAAGAAGCCTATCGTTTATAGCAATCGAACTCCGAACGGTCAATAGATTTTTATGAGTAGTTTTTATTTAATATCAAAAATACATTCGTAGAGCCAGAAATTGTCTGCCGAGTGGTGAACGCAATTTATAAAATTGATTTTGAGGGTTGATCGAACCATATTTTTCTAGTAGGGTTGAGAAATGGATTTATCAGTTTGAAGTCGAAACGAATGGCGTTAAACTGAGTATCTTAGCTGGGCCCGTCTCTATAACAACGATCTAGAACATCTGTTTTATATGCAATACAACTAAACCTATTTATCTTTGAAGGCGAAGAACGTGTTTTTAGTAACTTTGAAATGAAGTTAGATAAATAATAGTTTATTGGTACAAGATCTGGTCTATAACGCGAATGTTGGAGCATTAGGTGGTGAAAAATCAATGACTCATACCTCGTCGCTCATTCCAGCAATCTTTCCCATTCGCTCACATAAAACGCATCGGTTATGGACCAAAAAAAAAGTCTCTGCCAATAGTTTGGCCCCTTTATAGAAGGTCCGGCATGGTATTATTTTCTGGTCTCAATACAATATAATACAAGGATGAAAATGTGACGAACCGATCGTATCATCCAAGATATGGTGGCGGCTATTCATATCAATTGACATGAAAAAATTCAGTGCTTCGGGGAGTGAATTTACGATTGTATTAGAAAATTCAAAACTTCAAAAATTACTAAAACAACTTTACTCTAAGAAAAGTTATGCTGAAGGCAGGATTTTCGCTGATAAGCTTGAACATAATTTAAGATAACAAAATTCAGTGAGACTGTCTTCGAAATGATAAATTTATTTAACAAACAAGGAAAAACATGAAGAACATGTTTTCTAGTTTTCAAAAAAATAAATATTTGCTTGTTTTCTGTTCACTGGGTAGCCCAAGCGTATTTTCTAACGTATTGCACCCCACAATGGCATTGACGAATGCCACCAACACAGGATAACATTTTCCTTAGCGTTTAACACTTGTTTACGAAGGCACACAAAGCATTCACATGAATATATGTATGTATGTGTGTACGTAAGTAAACTGTATATATTTTTTTCTCATTCAACCGGCAAGGTTTATTGTATTGACTGGTGGTGACGATAGCGGAAGAAGCATTCAAGTCCTTGTCTCTTCAACGAGTGAAGGATTTCATTTGCATATTGTCTAGGCAAAAACAAAACTATTGGTATTTAACACTTGATGCGATAAAGGTTAGAAATGTGCTTAAAATATTTGCGTACAGTATGTATATATATATACATATGTCTATACATATGTTTATACATTGCTAGTTGGTATTTAAAACATATATATCGGTAATGCAGTCGACTTTTAATTACTTTGAACGGTATTAATTGTGAGGCGTGAAAATGCGTCTAGGTATTATGTATGTACGTGCATATATGTACAAACAAACGTATATACATATGTATATATAAGAAGTGCTTTTCGCAAAGGGGCTTATTTAGTTTCATTTTACAATACGTTGATGTGTAGATGGTTAAAATAAAGAAGCTAGAAAGCTTTAAGTAAAAAAGCTGGATTTGAGTTAAATAATTTAGGCCCGTTTTTTCGAGTGCCTGTTAATGTGAGGGTGACGAAACAGGCAGTTAAATTCAACTAAATTATAATTTTCATTTTCCCGACCTCCTATTAAATGTTGGCATGGCTGCGAAGAGGAAGTAAATCAGCTGTTTTAAACGAAAATAAGTAAAAAAAAAATAAATAAATTTTCTTAGCAAAACACGGCGCACGGAGTCTTCTTCAAACCTTTCCTCAAGCTCAGGTACATAAAATACCCGTCTTCTTTTCATTATATTTATATTGTATGTTAAACTAATTTTTGATAATTTTCTATGCTACTCATTAGTTGTTTACAATTATTAAATTACCGATTTTTAGAATTTTCGGAATTTTTTACTATGAATCAGCAATTTGGTGGTCACTGGATTTCACTTAATTTTGAGTAATATTCTCATGTTTATTACTGTATTAAAATCAGTATTCGCGGTATTTATTCGATTCGTAACAGAAGAAAAAATAATAATAATTAATAAATCCAACATTTTTTTATTTAGAGATGAATAAATCTTAAACAGCAGTGACGTAGTACATACCAACAAAGGAATATAAGTTTAACTACTTTTCAGTGTAGTAAGCGTTAAATTTTTTACATCTTACCCATAGTTAAAAAATGACCTCACAAGAAACTATGAGTAATATATGTATTGGTAACAGTTGTGAGCAAATAAATAGAAACTTTAAGTAGAAGAAATGCATCTAAATGAAAACTCAACAACAAATAATATCTTTTCGTTATATTTTGGTTACGGCTACAGTTATGATCATGAAAATAGTAGTTTATCACGTCAAATAGTGTAATTTTATTTTTTAAACAAGAAACAATGCTACCTGCCAAAGCGAGGTCCTTTCTGAGATGAATTAATTTTTCATCATTTCCTATAAATATCTCAAATACTGGAGAACAAATTTGGAAGAATTATACGGGAGTCTGTGCGCATTATCGGGAACATCCATATAGATCTTTCAAGGTTGTATATGAGGATTTGGTGGGTATATAAGAGCAACGACAAATACCAAAGCAAGTTTAATTGTATAGAGAGATCGTTAGTGACAGCAGTGGTGTGAAGTAAGATATCAGTATTTCAGAAAATTAGCTTACTAAGTGAAGAATGAGGCTAACAGAGCTAACATCCAAAAATTATTTAAATAATAATTTTTTAAATAATAATCCTTGGAGATCTGTAGTCTCTCTACTGACCTAGATTCCCGGCTTGTTAATATCAGTTGAGTTTCCGATAGACCTAGCTCTTTTCTTGTTATCACTATTAAAAAAATCTCCGATACAAAAATAAACTCGAGCTCGGCTTCAGTTGGTGAGAAATTCGAATGCAAGTATTTCTAAGGCTTCCATAAGGATTAGTGGGTATTTCATCTTTTCTTGCATAAATAGTAATTCATTCATAAATAATATATAAAAAGGCGACAAAGTTTTCGAACTTGCCGATTGGGATTTGGGTTTTTTTTCTATTCCAAAAAAAAATTAATATATTTTTCAAACCCTTTAACACCTATAACTTTTCTATGTCATGTTTTATAAATATTTAAGCGCCACTGCAATTTTTATGAACCCTACTGAACTAACAAATGCAGTTAATCCAAGTCAATCCAAAATTTAACAAAAAAAAAATAAAAAAATAGAATAGAATAGTTTATCTAACAAAATTTTATAGAAAAGTAATTTTTGTGTACTTTTAATACGAAAACTTCCGTTTTGATAGTCAAGTAGTCAGAGTTCCCAATTAAAATAATAAAGAACCAAAAAAGCAAATATTTGTAACCTTCCTAGGTGTTATCAAACATTATATGCACCTAAATATATACAAATGTATATACATACAAAGGTACAAACATAGAATATTAAATTGCCTTAAAACTGCAAGCAAAAGCAATCTTCATTGCCCATATGAGATTCCAAAAAATTAATATTATATTTTATATTTCCAACAACCAATACTATTCTTCTCTATTTTTGTTTTGCATTTACAATACAAACCTCTCACTTCTTTTGTTTTGTTGCCTTCACTTCTTGCTTGACAAGTTGTAAACTCTGCCGCAGTCAGCGCAACTGCGAGACAACAGCAGAAGCAGCACCAACACCACCACCACCACCACTACCACTACTACCACTACCGCCGGAACAAGATGGAAAATCAGCTGCTTCTTCCGCGCTGCTGTAGTTCCGTCTTCGTCGTTCGTACCCTTGTGCGACGCGACGGAGAGCTGCAAGCGTTGTTGCTGTTTTTTTCTTTTTGTTTTATACGACTCGCCCGTGATTGTCTATCACTGCTGCAGTGTAATAAACTGCCACCAGTTAGCAAAAGCAGTGATTTCGTATATTTGAGCCGTGAAATTTGCTTTCAAGATAACTTTGACAACAATCTAAGCATACCAAATTCACAAATTAGAGCAATCGTTTTCCATTATTAATTTATTCCCTTTGCTCTAATGCAGTTCTTGCAATTTCGCAGCTCGGCGCACTATTGTTTCACTATATACACAACGGCTGCTCGATATACACTACACTTCCCTCTATATTCTAATTCATTGTTGTTTTTTTCTTGTAATTCTTTTCACAACGTTTTTTCGCTTGCATATTTTTGGCAAAAATATTGCAAAAAAAATGGGAAACTGCACTCCAATTGCAGCTAACACCGGTCTTTCCAGCAAGCGTTTGGATTTTTCTACAAAATGTTTTCGCAGCTTTACAAGGTTCTATCTCCGTGTTTGTTTTTAGTTTAAAAAATTGGCACAAAAATTATTCACTATTTTTTTTACTATTTATTCACTCTGCAGAAACGAATTCACCTATGCACTGCAAAACTAGAATGAGACGAATTTATACATAAAGAATATAGAATTGTGAATGCAAAAATGGAATGATGTGAAGGAGGAAATGGAAATGAAAATAGGTAGGGAAAAGAAAATTAACACAAATTTTTTTGACAACAGCTGTCAAAGTGCTGTGCTAGTGCTTTTGAAGCTCGTGACCAACAGATGTCGCCACAAGCAATTTGAATTAATGCAGTAGTGGTTCAAAAAGAGACTAATGTTTGTAGCGGTCCTCTGTCGACGATTTTGCGAAAAGCTTTTCTTAGACAGAAGCGGTTCAAACTGGTTGCGGTTGTAGGCACAAAGGGAGAAACATACTTATGCGCTCTGGATTGGAAAAATCTGAATGCAGTAGATACAACAAGGCTGTTGTTCAGCTATATATGTAAATATATATATGTAAATATATATATATATGTAAATATATATATATGTAAATATATATATGGAAATATATACATAAAAACCTTTGTTCTGAATGACCGACAAATTAACACCCATCCTGAGCTGTGAGGGGTATATATCTGGATGAAAATGAATTTTCTGGGATGTGGACTTAAGACCGATCAATTTGAAAAAATCATATTTATGGTTCGATTTTATTGTGTAAGATTTTAAGTTCGTCCGCAAAAACCGAAGAAGAGTCTTATTAAACCCATCTTAAAATTCCATGCGACGCGGCCTCGGCCAAACTTTAGTTATATATAAAAATGCGTATTTGACCCCGGTTAATCTTAAGTAGACTAGATGATTTTTGACTTGAACTCGGTGTTCGTTCGAACAAGATCATTTTGGAGGGGCTCGAGAAGTCTGTCTGAAAGTGCTAAATTCGTACTACGACGGTCAGATAAAGGAGCGCTCACAATCACACCGGTGGATGAACGTCTTGGCAACTTTGGCAAAACACTAATCATCGCCCACGCATCCACGGAATGGAAGGACGATGTGACCAAAGAAGCTATTAATGAATGCTCTAAGCGTACTTAATAAGGTAGGTAGATAAGGAAGGTATCTTCGCCACAACAGTCGGAAAATTCAGCCTCTTCAAATGGGTTGAGGCTGATCTACTTTGCCGGGTCCCAAAATATGGTTATCTGCAGTACCAGATTTCAGCACAAGAAAATTCATCAAACCAACTTGGCTGTCTGCTCAAAACCAGATCGATCATTTTGATAGAGACGGAAGACATGCTTCTAGTGTTCTTAACGTGCGTACACTCCGTGGACCCAACATCTACTCGTACCATTATCTTGTTGCAACGAAGATACGCTCTCTCCTCTGTAAATTAAAGAACGCCTATCAACAAAAAAAAATAAGGAAAGTTTGACTTCGGAAAGCTGCAATCATAGCAGACACCCAAATCATTTTCTACTCGACTTTTACTCCTGCTATCTGAAAGTACTCATCAGCAGCGCTGTATAAGGGAACTGTGGGACGACATTTCAAGCTTCCTTTGTAAAGCCGTCAAGGAAAGTATTGATTCCCGATAAGGTCAAGAACAAAGCATGTACGAGAGAAAATATACTATTTATCGCGCAGCGCTATGGTCGACCGCAAAGCATGCTGTTTGGAAAGAGATACCTAGGGTTGAAAGACAGAAAAAGAGATAAAATGAAATGTGTGTGTACGAAGAGCTTGAGGAAGGGGATCAAACCGGGGTAATGTGACATCTTACTCACGGTTTCAATATTGAAACATACTCAGGTGGGAACGAAAAAGGGGATCTGGTGATTGGCGTTCAGAGTTTATTGCGTTTATCGACGCAGAGAAAGTGAAACACCTAGATTTGTCGCACCCCACCGGTTTATCGATGATGCTAGAAAAACGTTCCATTATCTGACTAGGTGGATGTCCGATTAGAAAATGCTCACCCAAACAATAACAAATATTGTGGAGAAGAATTGATAAGGTGTACACATTAGCTTTTTCATAGAATACGGTCAGACGAAGGCATGCTCGACGATCGGAACCCTAGTGCACTCTGTCCCATACGCGAAATTCGCAAAAAAAGGTTCCGTGAATGAAAATCGATACACAGTACCATTTCATCGACCTTGAAGTAGCTTTTGAGAACGGGAAACGAGGCTGCCTCTGCGCCGCTGCCTCTGAATTGGCATCCCCGCAAAACCTATGCGGCTGTGTTAACTACTTTTTAACACCGAAAGCCCTATCAGAATCGGGAAGGATTTCTGCAATCTTTGTGGGCTTTCTTAAAGAAGATTTGTAGAAAAAAAATAGAATATAAGTATTCTTCGCAAGCCAATAAGAAATTTTCGTTGACGAATTAGTGAAGAGAGAATTTAGTGTGTACAAAGTACGTAAGTCCGTGGGTTGCATGTAATCTAAAGTCGCGCTGTGACGCAGTTATTAGTAAATGTGCGCATGCTCGTCGTCATTCTTGTAGAGCAAGTTTACTGTGGGAAGTTGCATGTTTTCGTGCATGTGTGTATGTGTGTTGCAAGTGAAAATGGAAATTTGACAGTTGACATTTGGAGCAACATTTAATGAAATGCAGGAAAATCCTATACGCATAAATGTGCATAAGCGAAAATCTACATACAAACGTACATACATATGCACATATGCAAATATGTACATATGTATGTATGTAGTTCGAGGCCAGCTTTTACTTTTCCCTCATAAACTGACAAACCCAACTAGTTTGGTGGAGAAACGATTTGTTGTTTTCCACGTTTTAAGTGGTCCAAATCGAGTTTGTGATTTACTAATAGGCAAACATATGCACATAGCTACATATTTGTGGGAAGTTATTTTTAAACACTTTTCGCTTTTGGCTCGCTGGCAGCAAAGAGGCAATGCCATGAAGAGTTGACTCAAAAGCTTACTGCTCTCCGCGCAGAATCACAATTACTATTCAATTGCAATTTATTTTATTTTATTTTTTTTGTATATTTCTTTATAATTTCTCATATGTACACACATATATACTTTTTGCCTTCAGCAGGACGTTCTTTGTTCTGGTTGCCGTGGCTTTTCTGTTTCCTTAAATTGCCACGAACAAAGGCGACGACGGTTGGCAGAACAAATCTCAGTTAAAATGCATTTTATAATCGTTTTGCATAATCACGCAGCTGTTTACGTACATACTAACATATACATATATACATAAACACATACACAGAGATGCATTTACATATATTTAATATTTGCAAATTAATTTTTACGAATATTTTCAAGATTTCTTGGTTGAGGGTCGTTGGCAATAATTTATGTACATACACACATATGCATTTTGTGTCTGTGTGTGTGTGTGCGTGTATGTGTGTGTTCGAGTATGCACTTCCTGGGATGCTATTATCGGACTTTAAGTATTTCATACTTCAGTGTTAATGTCAATGAACTTGTCGAATAAAGAAAATTAATTGCGCACATTAATTACGATTGCACATACAAACACACATGCATACATACATATGTATCTACAAACATATGCACATATGCACGTATGAGATACGGTGTAGCCGCGTTGAATTTTTTTTAACCTTTGCTAAACTGCATATTTTTTCTTAATATATAATATTATATCTGCGCGTGTGTATGTTTTGTGTCTGAGTTTATTAATGAAACTGAACTTAAAATTTTGCAAAATATCGCAGTTATAACCTATCAAAGGTTATCGCACAATTTATAAAGTAAATAACATGTACAATGAGTGCAGGCATTCCTGACCATATTCTTGTAGTCTTGTAGTCCTGTCTGGGCTCCTTTCATAAATAATATTTACAAAATAAATTTATGAATTTATAAATGAAATAAAATTAATATTTTAACTATAAGTTCATTAAATTTTATCAAAGTTAGTTACTATCAACAGTTAGCTAGTTTTTTTTGCGTTTTGTGAAAACTAATTGTATTCAGCTAATTGAGTGAGCCTGTGTGAACCACATTTAATGTACGTTTCAAGAAAAAAATGCGTCTCTATATGCAAAATGTATAAAAATATTACATCTAGTATTTGAGCGATTATATTACGCTTAATTACATCAGTAAGACGATATTTTGAACTCAAAAGGATAATGAGCGAAATGGTGATCACTTAACTCGGACTGGAGTCAAAGATGGAGACCAACAATTGATGGACATTCTGCAAAATTTCTGCGATTTCTGATACTGAACAGGCAATCATGGTTTCATCGATTTCGTTTCAGCGATTTTATTGCAAATACTGCACGGTGTGGAAGGCTAGCTTTTGAAAATGTTGATGGAGTAGTAAACATCGTCGAGTATCACCGTCATAAGAGCACTGATTCGATTGCTTAGGGGCTTAAAATTGCACAAAACATAGTTTGGAAGCAAAAAAAAGAAGAAAATGATGGTTACACATAGAAGATCGATATGTAAATGCCACATGAGTTAACGAGAAAAAACTTCGAACTTCCATCTGCGAATCTCCGCTAAATCGTAATAAAAATATCTTCCCGTTTCTGAAGTGGAGGGCGACTGATGATCAAAAGTTGACCACTCGCAGCAACGGCAAATGAAACCGGTTGTGGTCGATGGACCAGGAAGGTTTTGTTGTGTGTTTGGTGGTATTGGCAAGGCCGGCCAAACATTTAATTCGTCAAAAGATCTAAAGGAAGGAATCCCAAAGAAACGATTTGTTAAACAGAAGAGGAACTCCATTTCACCATGACAATGCTAGACCACATACATCGATGGTCACTCGTCAGAAGTTCCGAGAATTTGTTTGAGAGGTCCGTTTGCATTCTTCTTATAGTGCGGTCCTTGCGCCAAACGGTTATTGTCTCTTCTTGGCTATGGAGAACGATTTGTCAGGTAAATAATTGATTCATATTTTACTTTTTTTATCGTTATTTTGATTATTTTAAAAAATCATTTTCCTGATACTCACTTTCAAAATTGCTTTTAAACAGAACTTTTGCTCTACTAATTAAAAATACTTCACAGTATAGAGTGACCAATTTTATCAAAAGAAATTTTTTTGTTTCATATCGATATAAGTTTTTTTTAGCTTATTTCTCCACGATTAGGGATTTAATTATTGAGTCTTTCAATTAGGTTAATTAGGCTT